CCCTTCATGCTCCCCGCCAATCCTGCTCAATCCAGGGAAGCCCCTATTTACGAATGCAATGCGCCAAAGGGTGTAGACCACATTCGGGCGGCTCGGTGGTCCCCGTGTATTCTCCGAGTGGAAGTACCTAGTGCACTCACAACCACCCTCCCACCAAGGCGCCTAACCGAAATCAAGGAATCGGGAGGCTCTAAAAAGGCGGTAATCCTCTCCTCCTTTTTTGCTATATGTTTTTGGAACTTGGAATATTAGGGGCCTTGGTGACCCCATTGCTAGCTGAAATTAGAGCCCTTGTTGAGCTCATAATATCTCTTGTATTGGCATCCTTGAGACGAAGATTAATCAATCCTTTTGACAAGATATCTAGTGGGCTTCTTCGGCCGGGTTCGACCGCTAACCGTAATTATTCTCCCCGTGGAAGAATCTGGATTGGGTGGAAGCCTTACGAGGTTGACTCCGCAAGTCATCTCTCGTATCCTCTCAAGTTATCCACGGCTATATCCGTGTTTGGCTCTCAATAAGACTTGTTTCTTCTCGGTTGTGTATGGGGAGCATACCTTTATCGCTGGCGTTTCTATGGGCTGACCTTATTAGGTCTAGCGTTCTTTTTGAAGATGAACCTTGGCCTGGTTGGGCGATTTCAATGCCATCCGATTCGACTCGGACAGATGGGTAGTTCTAATACATGGATACCGGCCTTTGATGATTTTGGCCATTGTCTAGACCAAGCTGGCCTGGATGACCTAAGATACATTGGCCATCGGTTTTCTTGGGCAACTTCTTCCGGGTGCTTCGCGCAAACTAAGGAAAATTGATAGAGCATTGGTCAATGATCAATGGCTCACTCGTTCTCTTTCTCGGAGGCTAACTTTCTAGCCCAAGGAGTCTCCGATCATTCTCCCATTATTGTTAGAATTGCTCCCGCCTCCTCGCTAGGAAGCCCTTTAAATTCTTCAACTTTTGGATGTCTCATCCGTCGCTTCCTATGCCGGTGTCGCAGGTTTGGGATTCTCATATTGGTGGTACCTCCATGTATGTCCTTTGCAAAAACTTAAACTGCTAAAAGAGCGTCTCGGCAAAGCTCAACGAGATTCTTTCTCGTACATATCGGAGCGTACATCGCAAGCCGGGGTTCAACTTCGGCTACTCAAGACGCCCCAAGACCTGACCCTTTTAATTCTGGACCTGGCTATCTGGAAAAGGACCACCTTTAGGTATTCTCGGATCTTAGACTCCAAGAGGAAAGTTTCTTTAAACAGAAATCAAGGATCAAATGGTTGAAAGAGGGGGACATGAACTCCAAATATTTCCACCATTTCGTGAAGAAGGCCAACTTCATAATCGGATCCTTTCGGTGTCGGATGAAGAAGGCTGTTCTCTCCGACCCGATTATGGTTCATAGCCATATCATCTCATTCTTTGAGACTCTACTTAAGGCGAACTCTCCGCTGTTCGGCCTACTTGTGTAGAAATCCTGGGTCCGTGGTGGATCGAGCCCTCGCTCCCGATCAAATTCTCTCTCTCTAGAGAAGTAATCGCTCTTGAAATTCGGAATGCATTCTTCTCCCTTGCAAAAGGTAAGGCCCTCGTCCCGATGGCTTCAATGTTGATTTTTTTACATCTTCTTGGGAAACCTGGGCCTTCGGTTGGCTGGCCTAAGCCATTAAGGATTTCTTTCTGGTCCAGGATCGTTGCTTAAGGAGATCAATACAACGATTCTTACTCTTGTGCCGAAGACCCCCAATGCCTTGTCCATGAATAACTTTCGGCCTATTGCCGTCCCATTGCTAACTCGTTTATAAATGTATTACTAAGATTTTGGCTAATAGGCTTGCCTCTCGTTCGCCATCCATTATTCGTAATGCCCAAAATGCTTTTGTCAAGGGGCGGAGGATTTGGAGATAACATCCTTCTTGCTCGGAGCTCTTTGGGTTTCATCATGACCCTTACCGACCAAAGTGTGCAATTAAGGTTGATTTTCAAAAGGCCTATGATACAGCTTGATTGGGCTTTCTTGGAAATGGTTTTGCAAACTCTTGGATTCCCCAATTATTTGTTAATCTCATCATGGAGTGTGTGACTCTCCCGAAATTCTCCATTTCCATCAATGGGGAGTTACATGGATTCTTTTCTAGTGATAGAGGAATACGCCAGGGGATCCCATGTCTCCCTACCTATTCACACTAGTGATGGAAGTACTCTCTCGGGATTCTCAACACTCAAAGGCGCGGTGCCTGGGTTTAAATACTTCGGAGGTGTAAGCCGGGTTTAACCCATTTGTTCTTTGTCGATGATGTCCTTTTATTTGTTGAGGGAACACAACTCTCTTGCCTTGTTGAAGGAAGGATTGGACTGTTCTCTAAGTGGTCCGGGTTGAAGCCTAATGTCAACAAAAGTGAAATTTATCTCTCTGGTGGGTCGGCGGAAATACGTGGACAAATCCGAAATGTGTTTGGCTTCAATGAAGGTACGCTCCCTTTTAGATACCTTGGGGTTCCTATCATTTCGTCTAGATTGAGCAAGGCGAATCAGTAGCACTTTAGTGAACTCCATTATTGCACGTGCTCGGTCTTGGTCCCAAAGATTTTTATCATTTGCTGGCCGACTACAACTCATAAAGTCGTGCTTCATGCTATTCAAGTTTACCGGGCAAGTGTTTTACACTACCACTGCCCTGTCCTATCTAGTATTGAATTGATCCTTAAGACAGTTCCTTGGAAAGGCCCGGACCTTGGTGTTGGTGGAGCTAGAGTCCCCCGGTGTGATGTATGCCTTCCTAAAGAGGAAGGTGGCTTGGGTATTCGTAGACTCTTGACCGTAATCATTCAAAGAATGCTCAAACATATATGGAATCGTTTCACTGAGATAAGGAATCCCTTTGGTGCAAGTGGATTCACTCCATTTTCTTGAAGAATAAGAATTTCTGGTTAGTACCTAAGCCGACTTTTTGTTCTTGGGCTTGGAAGAAAATCCTCGACCTTCGCTGGGATTTCCATATGTTCTTCAAATGGCAAATTGGTGACGAACTACCACTTCATTCCTCGGGTTTGATTCTTGGCATCCCAAAGGCCCTCTTTCGGCTCTATTTTCTAATAGTGGACATGTATTGTTCTCGTATCCCGAGAGAGGCCTCTTCGGGAATTCCTTTCCGGAATTGGCATGGCTCGCGAATGCTTCGTGACCTTCTATTCCCTGGCTCTGGATGTTATACCTATTTTGGATGTACGAGACTCGATCGTTTCGTATGGAAGGGCCATCCGACGGGCGTCTCTCGTGGTTTCGGCATGGGAGCAGATCGACCGCAAACCGATTGTCCCCTGGAGCTCTTTCGTGTGGGATCACAAAGATCGCGCCGAGGGGTTTCTTGTTGTGGCTCATATCGCCGAATAGGCTCCCAACACAGTTTTATTGCTTAATTATCACGTAATTCTCGGGTGCTTGCGCCTTTGTAAATGTAGAATTCGATTTCGTTGATCATCTATTTTTTGGTTGTCCCGTTACGGGCACCTTGCACTCTTCGGGCGGAAAATGTAATTTATCTTGGAGGAATCGCCCCGGCAAGACACTCTTCATTGGGCCACCCTTCGTAGGCGGCCAGCGGCGTCTCCCAACGTATAGCTCGTTTCTCTCTTGCGCGTTATGCCACATTATATGGACAACTCGAACAATATCCTATTCGGGGAATCAACCCTCTTTGTGCCGCCTTACGGCAACACCTTGCAAAGCTCATAGGGGATAGAGGTCGTCCCTCAAGCCTCGTTGAAGATAATCCTGAACAGAGGATCCAAGTCAATTGGGGCATTTCGCCTACCATTTTTGATTAATCATCTTGGGTTGTTGTTGTAGTTGTTTGGCCTTCATTCGGTCTTGCCGTTAAGTGTGCTTGATGTTTTCGAGCTCCTTTACCGCTACACCTTTGCACTCGTTACGGCACCTTGGGTGTCGTATCGTGCGAGGTTTTTGTGTTTCGCCACATCTCATGTACGTTACGCTTTGAAAAGTCAATATACTTCTTACCTTACCAAAAAAAAAAAAACAATTGCGAAACCTAACCATCCGCCTGGGTGGCGCTGCTGGAAAGGGCACTCTTCCTCTCGCAAAAGGTTGAGTGTTCGAATCCCGGCGCCGCAGTGGTGACTTAACCGATGCACATGTGAGGTGGCTAGCACGTGTCGCCCTGTGGTTTACCTCCCTACTGCCTCGGCCGTGCGAGGGTTCCCCGGGTTACCAAAAAAAAAAAAACAATTGCGAAACCTAACCACCCGCCTGGGTGGCGCTGCTGGAGCGCGCACTCTTCCTCTCGCAAAAGGTTGAGTGTTCGAACCCGGGTGCCGCAGGTGACTTAACCGGTGCACGTGTGTGGTGGCAAGCACGTGTCGCCCCAGGTGGTTTACTCTCCCATTACGTTGGCTATGGGTTCCCTGGGTCACCAAAAAAAAAAAAAAAACAATTGCGAAACCTTAAAAAGACGAACAACTGCGAAAGCATTCTCACCATCTCGGATCACTGCTCACGCGGGCAGAAATGCTCTCTACCGTGGTTCTCGCCGGCACTGTTCACCCGTGGAGATTTTTGGTTCCGGTATTCTCCGGCGATCAAGCTTCACCTAATTTTTGGAGAAAAAGGCTCCTTGGACTATCCTCTCTCACCCATCAAAAGGGCTCTTCTCGTCGTGAAGCGTAGAGGCTGGGCCACCAGATCTGATCGTTACCTGGTTCGTCCTCCCCCTTCCGAGATTTTCTTTCTACCGAAGTGGTTGTTGCTGGGATTGGTTCTTGGAGCTGTAAACCCCCCTTTAGAGGTACTCTCTCTTTGTTCCCTCCAGCTGTGGTAGGGCTGGAGATCGTGACTAGTGGTCGCACATTATTGGAGGTCCTTCTCATGCGTATTCTGTTCTGGGTTTATGGTGCTGGTGGTTGATGCGTATTCTGTTCTGGGTTTATGGTGCTGGCTGTTGACTGGTTGGTGGTAGTGGCGCGTTCCCTCTGGAGGAGGCTACAATGACTGAACCATCCCCTGTTATTGAGGCTGATCCAACCCCTGTTACTGAGAACCTCCAAGCGAAAGATGGTTTTGTGGCTAATACCATAACAGAAGAACCTAAAGGAAAATCCACCTCTTTTCTGATTGAGGCGGAACGTCCCTTTGGTCATAGACCTATCCTTAAGGGTAATTCCAGTCGTAGTCGAAGTAGGGGCCGACCGAAAGCTAGGAGTCGCTCTCGCAGAAGGACAGACAATGCTGGCATTGCAATACGCTCTGAATCTAGAGCCAATCCAGTAAGGAAAACAACTGAGGCGGGACAGACTTCTTCGCGTCCTCAAGGCCATCTTATCCGTACCCCTGCTACTAGAACTTGGGCAAATATTGCCAAGGTGCTAACTAAAGGTTATGACTTAGCCTTTGTTCCTCCGGTAGAGGAGAATGGAGAACTTATTGTGGATATCACTCCAGAAGTTGCTGCTGATCAGAATCCGTTTTGGCTAGAATGTATTGTTGGCCATTATATTGGGAAGAAAGTCCCCTTTAAATTAACGGAAGAAGCCTTTAAAAAAACATGGGGAGAACAAGTAGTTGATGTTAAACTACATGAAAATGGGTTCTATTTCTTTCGTGTCCCGAATGATGACTTTCGCAGAAAGATACTTGAGATGGGTCCAGTATCTATTTTCAGCAGCACAATGCTACTTCAACAATGGCATCCAAAGTTGAAACTCAAGAAGGGTGCTATGGATTCTCTTCCGGTCTGGGTTAGGCTAAGAGACATTCCATTCTCTTTATGGTCTCCTGCTGGTATTGGTAGGATTGCAAGCGCCATCGGAAAGCCACTCTATGTGGATACCCAAACCGAGCATATGTCTAGAATCTCTTATGCTAGAGTTTGTGTGGAAATCAAAGCCACAAAACCCCGGTTGGAAACTGTAAAGGTACGTTGGGATGGTGAAGTTAACCTGGTCCATATTGAATATGAATGGAAACCATTGGTCTGCTCTTCTTGTGGTTTATTCGGACATAAAGCTGGTTCGAATGGATTTGACTGTGCATCTGGTCATCATGAAGATAGAGCCGAGAAAACACTTCGACCTCAAGCTAATGCTAGACCTGAGACTACCCTTCCACCTCGTGAAACTGAGGGGTGGACTCAAGTCAGTAGGAAAAAATGCAAACTCTTGTTGAGCAAAGGTGCAACCCAGTCCAGCTCTGCATCACACCTTATTCTGGAGGCGAATCCAGGGGGGGAGGATCTTCTGCCTTCTGTTCGAGACCCTTCTTCTGCTCATGGGCTGTCAAGGCCTGATCTGAATTCTCCTAAGGTATCTAATGCAGGGCTGACCAGAACTGCAAATGACCTTCTTCTGGACACGACTTCAAAGGAGGACGAACTTCTGCCTCCTGTTGTGAACCCCTTTACTGAACATGAGCTGATCAGTATTGATCTGAACTTCCTGAAGGAATCTAACACAGGGATGAGTCATTCTGCTGTGCCCGGTCCTCAAGGATGTATTCACCAGCAAATTGAGGATCTTGTTATTAACTCTCAATCTTCCTCTGATGATTCTTCTGGCTCTCAAGTCGGGGTGGAGAATAGCGACTCTGAAGAGCTACTGGTGGAGGATCCTGCTGTAATATCTCCCCCAACCACCCGTTCTCGAACCTTGGCAACTAATACCTTGGAGGATACCTCTAAAGCCTCCCGAGGGCCTATTCCTAGCATGAGCTGCCCTGGTACGACTCCTGGCCGGTCCTCCTCAAAGAAAAAGACAAAAGGAGGAGGGCTAGGAAATCTCAGAGATAATATTTCTGTTTCTTCCTATGTTTTTTGGTATATGGAATATTAGGGGACTAGTAGATCCCCTTAGACAAGCTGAAATTCGTACTTTCATCAGGATTAATCGTCTTTCCTGTATCGGTATTGTTGAAACAAAAGCTAAAAGCTCCCTTTTTGCTGGAACCTCGCAAGGCTTATGTGGTAATTGGTGTTGGATTTCTAACTATGATTCTTCTCCCCTTGGCAGAATTTGGTTTGGTTGGAACCCGGATGAGATGGAAACCAGTCTTCTATATTCTTCTGACCAACTAATTCATGTTCAGATTAGGCTCTTAAACATGAACAAATCTTGTCTCTTTACAGTTGTTTATGGTGAGCATTCCTTTGTGAAACGGCGTCCGTTATGGGCTGACCTTCTTCGTATCTCTGCTTGTGACCTACCTTGGATTGTAGCTGGGGATTTTAACGCTATCAAAGATCCAGATGATAGAGTGGGCAGTACAACTCCATGGATCCCGGCTTTTGATGAATTTGGAGATTGTCTGAACCAGACGGGTTTAGAAGATCTTCAATATGTCGGGTGTAGATACACATGGACTCATTCTTCTGGTGCGAATCGGAAACTCCGCAAGATTGATCGAGTACTCGCAAATGACATATGGATGCAACAGTTCTCCTTTTCGGAAGCCAGTTTTCTTTCTCCTGGGATATCTGATCACTCTCCCATGGTGATAAAAATCCTTTCGCCACATAGTTCTAAGAAACCCTTCAAGTTTTTCAACTTCTGGACTACTCATCCTAAATTCTTGGAACTAGTGAAGCAAGCCTGGGATACGCATATAATAGGTACTCCTATGTACATTATATGTTGCAAACTGAGGGTCCTCAAACTGAAACTGAAACTACTAAACAGGAGTTCCTTTTCTGACATCTCTACAAGAACTGATCAAGCTAGATCAGATCTCTACGCTGTTCAGTCAGCCCTACAGCTCCATCCTTACGACCAGAGCCTTCTAGATAGAGAAGTGGAGCACACACAATCCTTCTCTTCTTTGAGAATGCAGGAGGAATCCTTCTACAGGCAGAAATCCCGTATACGATGGCTTAAGGAAGGAGATTTGAATACCAAGTTTTTTCACCACTTTGTCAACAAAAGACGCTTACACAATCGAATCCTCTCGGTTTCAACAGAAGATGGGTCTATAGTTACTGATCCTCAGGCCGTCAGGTCTCATATTGTCGGTCACTTCCAGGAGATACTTAACGGCTCGTCTGCTTCTGTTTGGCCCTCTGTTAGCGAGATAGGCATTTACCTTGGACGGGCTCTAGATGAGACTTAGAGGAACACATTGGTGCATCCGGTTTCAGATGAGGAGATCCGGTCCACCCTTTTTTCGCTCGCTAAGGGTAAAGCCCCTGGACCGGATGGTTACAATGCTGATTTTTTCAAAATTACCTGGGAGATCATTGGTCCCTCCACTCTTGCGGCGGTAAGAGACTTCTTTGAGTCAGGATGCATGCTTAAAGAGATCAACAATACCATTCTAACTTTAGTTCCGAAATCCCCTAATGCTTCAACCATGTCTGATTTCCGTCCGATTGCTTGCTGCAATACCTTATACAAGTGTATCTCTAAAATCTTGGCTAGACGGTTAGCTCGTGTTCTTCCAACCCTGATTGGCCCGGCCCAAATGGCGTTTGTCAAAGGACGCAGAATTAGCGATAACATCATGCTTGCTCAAGAATTATTCGCTGATTTTCACCACCAGGCATACCTTCCTAAGTGTGCCATTAAAGTGGATTTCCAAAAAGCTTTCGATACTGTTGATTGGAACTTCATCGAAAAGGTCTTAATGGCTTTCAATTTCCCGGCCTCCTTTGTCAATCTGATTATGGCATGTGTTTCGACTGCCAAATTCTCTGTTTCTATCAATGGGGAATTACATGGATATTTTGGTAGCACTCGTGGCATTCGTCAAGGAGACCCATTATCGCCGTATCTCTTTATACTGGTTATGGAAGTCTTCTCTGGTATTCTTAAGGCTAAAACAGAGATTCCAGAGTTTCACTGGTATTGGCGATGTAAGGACACCCGTCTTTCGCATCTCTTCTTTGCGGATAATGTACTTCTGTTTTCCGAAGCTCACTTGAGATCAATTGAGCTAATCAAGGAAGCTCTCTTTACGTTCACTGAGTGGTCTGGTTTAAAACCAAACACCACAAAAAGTAATATCTTTCTCTCAGGAGGGACCCCGGATTTGCATGACCAGATACTCCGATGCCTTGGATTTCAGCGAGGTACTCTTCCTTTTCGATACTTAGACGTGCCAATTATATCCTCTAGGTTGCGTAAAGAGGACTGTAAAGCTTTGATCGATGCCATCACTGCTCGAGCTCGCTCCTGGACCCAACTGTTTTTGTCATTTGCTGGTAGGCTGCAGCTTATCAAATCGGTCTTGCATTCCATTCAGGTTTATTGGGCCACTATTTTCTCTCTTCCGAAAGCTGTATTATATAGAATTGAGGCTATCTTGCGTCAATTTCTATGGAAAGGCCCTGACCTTGGCGTAGGTGGAGCGAGGGTAACATGGAATTCTGTTTGCTTACCCAAGGACGAAGGTGGTCTAGGTATACGGCGGCTTGTTGAGTACAACAAAGCGATGATTCTTAAGCACATATGGCTTCTTTTCTCTGATAAAGAATCCTTGTAGTGCAAGTGGATACACTCTATTTTTCTAAAAAATACCAACTTTTGGCTTGTCTCCAAACCTACCTTTTGCTCTTGGACTTGGAAGAAAATCCTTGACATGCGGGTTTCTGCTCAAACTATGTTCCGGTGGAAGATTGGTGATGGGCATTCTGTTTCTTTCTGGTTTGATCCATGGCACAATAGAGGCCCTCTCTACCTTCTTTTCAGTGATGTGGACATCTATCAATCGCGCATTCCACGGGATATTTCGGTTAGCAAATTTTATGAGGGTACCTGGCAACCTTCGAACGCGCTCAACTCTATATTGAGCTGGACGGATACTCTCCCAACCTTTTCGGAAAATTTGCAGGACTCCCTTTGCTGGATCCCTCATCCATCAAAAACTTTCTCAGTTGCTCTTGCTTGGAATCATATCCGGAGGAAAGGACGGCCAGTTCCTTGGCACTCGTTCATTTGGGATCAGAATATTGCTCCTCGCCATGCTTTTCTATTATGGTTAGTTTCCCTTAACCGGTTACGTACCCAGGTGTTCCTCATACATAATCACAGGATTGCCAATGCTCTATGCGCCTTTTGTGGATCCAGACCAGATTCTATCAACCACCTATTCTTTGAATGCACATCTACCAGTAGGTTGGCTTCTATGTGGGCAACAAAATGCAGCTTACTTTGGTGCAACCGACCCTGGCAAGATCATATTAATTGGGCGATGAAAGTTTGCGGTGGAGCCTCGTTTGCTCACCGAATCTCTAGATTTTCCTTTGGTGCTTTATGTCATATCATTTGGACTGAAAGGAACAATGCAATATTCAGACATAAGAGTGTATTCATCCCGGGCATGCGCAAGCATCTTATCAAAGTCGTCAAAGACAAAGCCATTTCCATGGGAGGAGTAGAGGATAATTATAGGAACCGTGTTTTTCAAAGAAAATGGGATCTTCCGTCTATAATCTTTATAGCGAACAGGAGTTGCTCTTAAGTCTTTCCTTTGGTTCTTGTGGTGGTTCTGTTTTCCCGCCCGCTTTTTGTGCTGCTATCGGCTATGTCCGATGCTGGTTTTTCGGTGTCTTAGGTCTTTTGCCTCCAATTTTCGGATTGGTTGGTTGACCTTGGTTGTAGTTCTCTTTCTTTTATTTCCATTTAGCCGGCCTTGGCTTCTTGTATAGTTCCTGCTGAACCTCTCTTGACCTTGTGTGGACATCTCTATGTCCTAATAGGGTCGGGAGCTGGTTTGGGCTTTAGGTTGTATTTGGTGTTTTGAAAAGTTATATACATATACCTTACCAAAAAAAAAAAAAAACAATTGCGAAACCTTATACTTTTCTCAACTCTTGGGTACTGTTCACTACGGGCTCCCAAGCTCTCTCTGGTTTCTGGTGCTCGGGTCACTGTTCATCCGGCAAGTTCTGCTGCGATTCTGGGTGTTCCGGTGGTCCGTTTCCTCTGAAATTTGGTGTCTTGCTTCGCCTAGCACTACTCTTGGTCATACTAAAAGGAATCCACGTGTGGTGTCTTCCTTTGAGCGGACGAGTAGATCTGAACCACCGACTGGGTTTCCCGTTGATTGTTGTGTGCTACACTATTCACCCGCCGGATTCTTCTGCATATGGTTGATTCACTCGTCCTTTTCTTAAGCATTTTGGATCCAGGAATCGCCAGTAAGTATACCTCCTTCTCACCGTTGGGATTTTCGTCTGGGTTGCTCTGCTGGGTTTGCCCGAAGATCTTTATTTGCCCGTCTAGATTTTCTTCTCTGGGAAGTTTAGACCGCTGTATCTCTGTGAATCTTGGTGTGTGGGGTTACCTAGTAGGTCTCTTTCTTTCTCCCGGTAGGACCTTACTGCTTTGCACTTGGCTTGCCGTGGGGACAGATCTGGGTTTCTGGGTTTCTGCGGTACTATTCACACCAGGTGAGCTTCTCTGGAGATTGCGTTGATATTTTGATGAGTCTCTGATTAAGGGTGTCGCCCACTTAGTGCCTTTCACTCCCTGATTCTATTCCTCGGGGGGTGGTTACTGGGAATCATAATGTCTGCTCTGGTGTGAAATCCATGGCTGAAACCCCAGTTCTCGGACGTTGGCCTCTGAGCCTCAGGCATCTGAATCATTGGAGATGGGCAAACATGTGAGTGCCCTCCCTAAGCACCCCTCAGCTGTTAATGTTGGTTCCTCTGATGCCACTCGCAGATCTTCTTCTTCGGTGGTGTCTGCGAAATTAAAAGCCCAAGCTGCCATTAGTGCAGTGGAAACCCTTGTTGCTAGAGTTTCATCTGTGTTTGAAAAGGCAAGCACGAGGACCTCCAAGGTTAATGACCCTCAAGGTCGAAGGTCTCACAGTAGAGGCCGAAGCAGGGGAAGGTTCACGCTTAACCCCTCCCATAGTTCTCTATATATTTCTGGGACTTCAACAGATCAGCAAATTGCACTAGTGACTGGTACTGACCGCAACAGCAGTAAGGGGAAGCCACCGACTAAAACTCCTCCCCGTGACTCCCAAACACAACCTACTCAACGCTCCTGGGCAGCTGTTGCAAGGACGGCCGAAAAAGGATATGGCCTCTCATTTATTCCCCCAACCATCGTCGATGGTAAACCGTTGGTACAAATTTCGGAAGCAATACTGGAAGATTCAAACCCCAAATGGAAAGAATGCCTAGTTGGGTATTTTATGGGCAAAAAACTACCCTTTAAACTCACTGAGACTGCAGTGAAGAATGTATGGGGAAACAATCTCGTGGATGTAATGGCAAGCAAAGATGGATTTTTTTTCTTCCACATTCCCGACAAGGCTTTTCACCGGAAAGTCCTAGATGGGGGCCCCATCACTATTCTGCGTGTGCCTATGATTTTGAAGCAATGGCACCCCAATCTAAAGCTCGTTAAGGACCAGCACCTGGTATAGGGATATCCCCTATGCTTTATGGTCGGCCTCTGGTATAAGCGCAATTGCCAGTGCACTTGGTAAACCACTTCATGTGGACTCACAAACTGAGAAAACGAGGATGCTTTCTTATGCCAGGGTGTGCATAGACATCAAGGCCACCCAAAACATGCTAGACTCGATTGAAGTCAAGCTCAATGGTGAAATATGGCTTGTCAAGGTCGAGTACGAATGGAGGCCTATCTCTTGTATACCCTGTGTCACTTTCGGCCATAGATGCTCCGCGCCTAGCATGGAGACAGTAGTCCCAGATAAGAATTCGCCCCACCCTTCTGCTCCTGTAGCTCCACCCTAGTGGAAGAGCCTTGGCAGATGGTAAACAAGAGGAAAGGGGCCGACAACCCTAGGAGCATGCTTATCGCCCCCGGTGCTCGTCGTCCCACGATAGTGGCAGAAGTCCCTACTCTACCCCATGTTCCATAGACCCTGTCGAAGGTGGATGCGCCTGGACCTCTACCCCTCCCATGTCCCCCCGAAGTGGCTCTTCCACATCCTCTAATACAGGAGAATCCAACGAAAATATGGCTAGTGATATGTCTAGCGACTCAGACTCTCCATCCCCTGGTCAGGCTGCATCTCGACCCAACGGCTCCTTGCAAACGAGATCTTGCGCTATAAGTCACGCCCCCTACCGTGAATTACTTGGCTTGAGACCCCCCACTATGGAAGCATCCCCGCTAGGTCCTGGA